TTAAACTTATCCTCTATCAGGATGATTCTTTATATCATTCCTGGTTCATACAGTTCCATAAAGATTTCAAGAGCCAGATTCTGTCCTGGTTCGCACAGTGGTGATTTGTTCACGGCCCCATTCATGAAATCTTTTCAGCTGATCTTCAAGATCATATTATTATCTTCTCCTCTATTTATAGACCTAGTAAACATGAGAGTCAGTTTTCTATTTTATTAATGTTTATTTGCAGGTACAAAGTCCTATGGATATATAAATGAAAATGGAAAATTATTGGGTTTAATGTCGCCAGACAATTCTATGTCAAATAGTGACCTAGGTTCCAGCAAGGACTAATTATTGACTGAGTCAAACAGGAGTTCCCAGTCAAGGTTCCAACCGCAGTAGCGGTTCCAGCAACCTTAACTCCTGCAACTCCAGTCAAGCAAGTTATGTCTTATCTCCGAATTTTTACTCCAGAAGAGCACAAGAAATCCACTACAATAGAGCATAAACAGCGAAAATCCTCCTCTAAAGATTCTAGCAAACAGTTTAAGAAGAAGACTGAGTTAATTGAGTTAGCATAGCAACTTCTTCAACAAGCGGCAAATAGTTCATCTCCATTCTCCCAAGGATCTGCTAACGCTTCCCTGGATTCCTTCCAAGAAGCCCAAGACCCATATGCAGGATATGATTATCTGGTAGATATATCTACCCTATAATGGTACTTGTATATATATGTGATAACTTCACTCCTACTTTCTTCATTAAAGAAATAAAAGTTGTCTATTACATATATCGATAAATGAATCATTTGGTACAACGACTCTTTCCCCTAAAAACAACCATCAGCCACTATTCAAATCTATTTTCCACCAAAAATAGATTCCTTCAGACAGCAGCAGGACCCACCTACCTAGAAAGTCAGCACTTACTTTGGTAAAAGCAATTTACCTCCACTTTCCACCGAAAGGATAAGGTGAAAAACGCTTTACCTGAGTTAAAGCAGCAGCAGGAGAAAGAGAAATAATCATTCTAGAGATTCCTTCAGAAATCCTTACGCCTATATAAGGATTTCAATCTTCACCAACAAAGCAAGCTTTTGAAGCTCTTAAAGCCCTTCTCTAACAAAGCTTACTATCCACTCTATACACTATCCTTACCTCATATTGTAAAGAAGCCTTCATAATGATGCAAAATGAAGAGCCTCTCGTTCCTATCCCATTACAGCCACTAGCCCAGTAGTGCTAGTATTGTAAGTATTTTATTTCTGTATTGTAATTAGTATTTTGTTGATATAAGAAGAATTTTTCGATAGTAAAATTCATCACCAACTCCTATATCTACAGCTTGTGATTCTCCTCATTACTTGTCTTTTCTCACTTGTTATATTTTGGTATCAGAGCCATTTGATGGCCTGGATAGTTACTCATGCAGTTATATTCGAGTTATCTTACTTGTACCTCTTCCAAAGCCGTGAATTTCCTAACCCGTGAATTTCTGCAAGAACCTCATGGCGGACAAGAAAGATAGTAAACTAGGTACCTCTTCCAAAATCGAGAGGGATACTGAAAAACAAAAATTTAGTCAGATATTTGCCTAAGAAAAGGCAAACCTTGACAAACAGTTAGCCTTGCCAAGCCCAAACCTTCAATCCTCTACTATATGTGTGTGTGTGTGTGTGTGTGCACGCGCACCTGTGTTTATGTCTGTGAAAGAACCTCCAAGAAATACAAAAGTTGGTCGGAATGTTCTTGGCAACCGACACCAAAACAAGCCTATGGCAAGAGTTTTTCGTAGAGCTTAATTCGACTTTGAAATATAAACCGGACAAGACCAATGTAGTTGTAGATGCTCACAGTAAGTTTTTAACCAAGTGGTTCAGTCTTCTCCATTGGTACCAGAGAATTATTGAGCAATTGGTAACTACAAAGCTTAGACCTAATGAGGGACAAGCCCCTTCCTCTACAAATTCCTCGTCAGAGTCTTGAACACCTGCCAGAAGTATAGAGCAGCGAGACATATTGGGCTTTTTTTTTGTGTAGTGCATCAATCTTTCTGTGAACTGGATTGCCATGTAGAAAGCAAGGGACTTTTCAATTCAAACCAGCCAACAAGCTCTTGAGAGGTATCCTACTTGCTGAATGTAATTCAAACCTGTAGCCTATGCAATCTATAATATAAAAGAGGGCGACTTCAATAAGTCAATCTTACGGTCTCAAATTCATTCGTCCAACAGTCAAGAAATTACAATTTTTTTCCTTAATATTCTCCCCCATTAAGTCAACGACTACGGCTGATCTTGAAACATATCTTACGGTCGCAAATTCATTTATCCAACGATCAAAAAATTAACATTTTTTCCTTAATATTTTTTCTCCCAACTGGTTAACGATTACGACTAATTTTGGAATACAGGATTTTCTCTGACATAATAATTAAATTGGTCAAATTTGTCATTAATATTAGTTGTGTAGTGTAATATTTTGAATTTGTATAAGACACAATGATAACATTTTGATTAAAAAAAGCTCATCAATTTATTTAAGATAAAAACAATAACAAGGCCGCTGCTTAACACATTAAAAAAAACTCATTAATTTTAATTTTATTTATTTATTTAATTATCTCAAACTAACATGTCTTATACATATCTTGAATCAAAAATGCAAGACTATTTTTTTTATATCTTAAGGAAATCCAACGCTAATATATTCTTTTAAATTAATAATTTTGTAATAGCTTGTACTAATTAAAAAATAATATTTTATAAATGATATTTATAGATCTTTTTTTGGTAGAAAATATTTTGGCGATATGCTTTTTGATAAATTCAATTTTTAGTTTGTATTAAATTTAACTCGATTTTGAGTACATATACATAAATTAACATTTTTTAAGTTAATTTTATCATATTTCGTGGATTTATCTATAATATCCATAATATAAAATAGGATGGCTTCAACAGACCTATCCTACGGTCTAAAATTCATTCATCCAACGGCCACCAACATTTCTCTTAAAATCATTTATATTGAATTTTACTCTCTTCTCACTTTTCACTCTCTCTCTCTCTCTCTTTAGCAGTGGCAGAGATAAGGGGTCTGGGGTCACCCTGAAAAAAAAAATATATATATATATATATGGATTAATTGAGCCCACTGCAATGATTTATGAAAAATAAATTAATTAGGTCAAACAAGTTGGATACTAGAACAAAAAAATAAAAACAAAAAGTTCATATCAATCTCTTAAAATTAGCAAACTAAATTAATTATTTAGAGTATTGGTATGATTTGTTGAAACCTCATTTGGTTCAAAAATAATGGAATACATAACCAAATGAGTAAAATATGAAATTTGTAATTAAAAACATATAGAATAATGCTTTTATTTGTGTCAAATCTATATCTATAATTTATAATATAAAACAGTGTGGCTTCTACAAGTCCATCCTACGATATCAAATTCATTCATCCAACAGTTAAGAAATTATCATTTTTTCCTTAATATTTATCTTTTCAACCGGTCAACGATTACGTCTGATTTTCAAACACTTTTTATGGTCTCAAATTTATTCATCTAACGGTCAAGAAATTAACATTTTTTTTTAATATTTTCCCTACCAACCAGTCAAAGATTACGATTAACTTGGATCACAAGATTTTCTCTAACATAATAATTAAATGATTCAAATTTGCCATTAATATCAACTATGTAGTATAACAATTTAAATTTGTATAAAAGACAATGATAATATTTAGATTAAAAAAAACTCATCAATTTAACAGGTTAAAAAAAAAACAAGGGCGCAACTTAACACATTTATATTGAATATAATTAATTTTAATTTTATTTATTTAATTAACTATCTCAAACTAACATGCCTTACACATGTCTTGAATCAAAAGTTCAAGACTATTTTTTTTTATCTCTTAAGAAAATCCAACGCTAATATATTCTTATAAATTAATAATTTTCTAATAACTTGTACTAATTAAAAAAATTATATTTTATAAATAATATTTGTAGATCTTTTTTTGATAGAAAATATTTTGGCGATATGCTTTTTGATAAATTAAATTTTTAGTTTATATTAAATTTGACTCGATTTTGATTATATGTATATAAATTAATATTCGATTTTGATTACATGTATATAAATTAATATTTTTTTTAGTTAATTCTATTATATTTTGTGGATTCTATAATATAAAACATGGTGGGTTCAACAAACCATCCGACGGTCTCAAATAAATTCATCCAACGGCCACCAACATCTCTCTCAATACTATTCATATTAAATTTTACCTTCCTCTTCTCACTCTTTACTATCTTTCTCCGGCAGTGGTAGAGGGAGGAGGGGTCTGAGGTCACTCTGGAAAAAAAAATATTTTTTTAATTACATATGTTTTATATATATTTTTTAAATTAGTGGGGCCCACTGTAATGATTTATGAAAAACAAAATTAATTGGATCAAACAAGTTGAGTACTAGAACAAAAAAACAAAAACAAAAAGTCCATACCAAATCTCTTAAATTAACAAACTAAAATTGATTCCTTAGGGTATTAGTATAATTTGTTGAAGTCTCATTTGGTTCAAAAATTATAAAATATACAGAAAAAAATAAGTAAAATATAAAATCTATAAAAAGATTAAAAATTATAAAATATTTTTTTATTTGTATCAAATAAATTATATTATTGATCCTTAATGTATAGATGTAATCTTATTAATTTTTTTCAAATAGGCTTTTTTTATGTTTAATAAATTTTTAAGTATCAAATTTAATATAAAAAATATAAATATATCACACTATTTTTATCTATTATACTTAAAGTGTGTTCACCCTAAATTATATTTTTGGCTCTACCACTACTCTCGGGGATCTTTTTACTTAATTTTTCAAATTAATTAATTGATTTATGTTGTACCGTGCCTGAAGGCACGGGTTATCCCTAGTCAAACATAAACGAGAAAATGTGGAATACTGCTGAAGAAAAGGAAAAAAAGCAAAAGGTCAAGCAAGCATATCATATAAGCAACAGAACCACATACACTAGGACATAATAGGATAGAGAACATAACGTTGAGTACTGCTAGCAATTACAATCAAAATGCTTTCCATTTTTATACACAAGCAATACCACACCAACATATCCTAGTGGTAGATAGTAGGGCAGAGTGCAACTCAAACGCATAAATACCAAAGCTCAGAACATCACTATATGCATCAACATCTATCTACATATGCACTTTAATCTGAAACTTTGGTTGGTTCAGGACGGCGGTGAGTATGCCAAGCAGAAGAGTAAGCTGAAACAGCAGATCCAGTAATGCTCAACGAATGCTTTGCAAGATGCACGCTCTTCGTTGCTGCTAACCACACGGTAAAAAAGAAGCCCATCCAACCTGATCCACATACAATTTCCAAGTCTCAGGTGTGCGTAAAGAAACAGAACAGCAACAGTAGACGCATATTCAATTGGAAGATTCAAACAACAAATAACAAAGCAATGTAGTAGAACTTTAGAATTACAATTAAAATGTTCCGTCACAACAAATGTATTGGTACAGTAGTTCCAGAGAAAGAAACCAGCCAAAAAGCTCCAGCCCAGACACAACCATGGAAACAGTTCAGCCCGGAAAACAATAAAGGCTATCTACAACAAACCTAAGCATTACCACCATCAAATCCCCAGAGCAAAAAAAAAGTTAGTTTATAGGTGTAAAATGGAGAGCGCTCCAATCAGTAATACACCAACTGCCAGAAGTTGAACACATCTACATATACACGCGGTGGTCGACATGATAAAAAGAGAAAAAAAAAGTGTATTAATTACAGACCTATGATTATGGTATAAGCGGAGCAAAAGAACCGATCAGAAGGCTCAGATATGTACTATTGGGGAACAAAACAGAAGAAAAAGGAAACTTCTAGTCAGTGGATCACTTGGTCTGGGCTACAATTTTTTTTTTTTTGGTCATTAGTCTGGGCTACATGACACAAAGTTCTTCAAGCTTATACATAAATTACAGGAAACAAAGTCTCTGGAATCTACGATCAAAGAGCAAACTAAAATGGTCAACTAAAAGAAAACAAATTGATTAGTTCGTGGAATACCGAAAAGTATAACCACAAAGGGCGAATAAAATAAAAGCTCAAGTGCACAATTGTAGAAAAAGGAAAAGAATATAGAGAGTTTAATAGGTTACCTGCAGCTATTAGAGCAGCTATAATTGCTGAAATGGTAGCAGTGGAAATAAAAAACGCAGCTACGCATACTGCCCCAATATAGATGGCCGTCACACAGGCAAAGAAAAAAGCCAAGAAGCCCCCTGCTGCGGCTAAAGACATGAAAAGAGAGATTATAACGGCATTGACAGTTGCTGCCAGAAAGAAAAGCATGAAGACTAGCAATCCTGTCAAGCTCAGAAGAGTGACAGTCCCAACCTGCAGCAATTTGGGGGAAAAAAACACAAGAAATTCATTACACAAGAAGAATTCAAAATTCACTTTATGTTATGACATAAAGAAAACTTACGATTTTCAAAAATTGTCTTTATGTAAATTATTTTCAACATATAAGGTTCATTAAAAAACTATTGAGGGAGTAGATTGATTCACATCCAAGCACATTCATACTATATGCTGGGAGAAAGCAGCAGCAAGAGGAGGTAAAAATACAATAGGGTCTGAAAATCGATTAATATGGCTACTTTAATTGTCAGAGAACAATTTTCAGCGGCACATGAACAGGCTGCAATTTTGCAGTCTTACATAGCATTTACGAAAACAAGCACTTCACGAGCTCTTCTCAGTCTCAAGGATGAAAACACAAGATCCAAAGTTCATTATATTGGAAATATTTGTGGAAAACATCCAGGATGATGCCTCAAGTAGCATGACCAAAAAACCCAAAACAAAAGACAGGATGAGAAAACTGCACCAAGTTTCAGACAATCCTCAATCAGGAAGAGGATTTTTGCATTAAACATGAATATAGAGCTAGTATAGCATATGCCAAAAACTGTTTAGGGGCGTATTCAGAATCGTCAATGTAGATTAAATAAAGGATGCAATCCATTACTTGCTATACCTCTAGCAGAAACCCTCGTCTCCCTGGGGACAAAAGAAAGACAAAAAAACCCATACAGATGTCGGTACTAAATGAACGAGTCATGTTATGATTTCTGCTACAGTTCTGCTTCAGAAGAGAGACAATGCAGTTGAATTGAGCAGAAATCTTGCTGAATCAGAAGACCTAGATGATGCTCAAAACATTAGTTTCGATAGAATTTAATAAGTTGAGGTTGATTGCAATTTTTATAGGTTAGATGAGGAATGATTTCCCAGGGCCACAGCAATGTCATTTCATCATAAATTAAAGATGTTTCTAGATTCTAGAACTCAAAAAGCCTTCTCCCTCTCCCAACATTTGATGATGTTTCTAGATTCTTGGAAATAAAATACAAAAAATAGATGCTCAGAGAGGCGAACTTAGAGATCAGATACCTAACCGATAGAGCATGCTAACAATTTGACCACTATTCAACGTTCCATGATGAGATTCATTCTACCAGAATGTGCTTTTTGACTTAGAAGACCCATAATCTGAAAATCAACATTGAATAGCAACAACAAAAGCTGCACTACTCACGCACCCAATCATGATCAAAACAAGAAAACCCATTCAAAACAATAGTAAAGGAAAGAAAATAAACGAGACAGTGTCATATATAGTTGTAGCTGTCCAAGTATGTTTGATGGGTCAGACAGGCTTAAGCCCATAAGCTATATTTGGACAGTTTTGAAAGATTCATAAATAATTGTATAAACTGCATTTTTTTGTTGTTCGATTGGTAAGTAACAAAAAAGAATTTTTACTCAAACAAGCTAAATTAATGTGTCATTACTTAGTCAAAGAAGGGCTATGACCGATAGTTCTTCCATATCACTGACAGCAAAGAAGGCAACATGCTCAATCAAGGAAAGCCTCATTAATAATTTTGTGTTTCCTACTCCAGTAGTTACGACTACTAAATGTTCTCAAAATCTAAGTTCACCTTAAGGATACACTTAAAGAGCCATTGATCAATCTCTGTTACAAGGGAAACACCGTCAGAGACTTCACAATCAAGGAGACTTGGGAACGAAACTTTTAAATTAGGCATTGCGAATTTATAAATTGCATCTTACAGATAAGAAAAGATGCATAGAAGACAGAAGACGACCAACATTTACATGAAATAGCAACCGCAGCTGACTCAGAATTAAGTCCATATTTTTCAAGCAACACCAACCATTGACAAAAATGAAAGCTTCCTGTAGCGCACAATTTCCCATTTATCTAGACAGACTAAAGAAAAGAATCCAGAGTACCATGAATCTCAAGTCAATGAGAATTACTTGTGCATAAAACTAAGTAATAATTATCAATACTTCGTGTTGGACTCCGTAAGGATGAGAGACAGAACAACATGAACCAACTAGTATAACGGAAGCTTCCAACCCTAAAAAGTAATCAAAACTGGGTAAAGGGCAAGCAGACTACCAGATTAACAGGACAATACTTGCAGTGGAACCATAATCTACGCAAGGTGAACATCAACCATCAATCAATTCAACAAGCCTTTCAAGCGTCTTATGTGTTGCAAACTACAATGCCAGCAGAGTTAGTTTTCACCAGAAAACCCAGATGGGCTAATGGTGCTCAACAGTCAAGAAATAAGAACCTGGTAGTACTTTTCAATAGTAAGAGCTTCCTAAGTTTCAGCTTCTACATTCGTTAACATTAATATGTTACCAATAATAATTTTTCTTTCTTTTAATCAATATTTTGGAACTAATAGAACTTATGAATTGGCTAAGTTAGAAAGACTGCCCAATCCAAAGCTACCAAAAGAAGGGACAAAAAACCTGAATGTCACGTGAAACATGTTGAGGACATCTAAAATGAAGTTTAGTGCTAAATGGAATTTTATTTTACAAAAAATTATTTAGATCAGAAAAGTTACCAGGTATTTAGGGAGTTCCTTGATTTGCTGGACCTGGGCTGCAATGAATTATGGATCTTAATTAGGATTATATTGGGTAATTTAGTGTGAATATGATCCTTCCAAAGGGTGAGGCATGAAGGTGTTCTTACTTCTTCATACTTGTAAGTTGTAACCATCCACAAATTACCCATCACAGGCCCCTATCAGCCCAAAACGTATCCCCAACCTCGACCTAAAAAATCCTAACTAACCCTAACTCATTCCAAAATTCAGGTTTTAAATATCAAACACCTCCAACACTTGCCGGCTAAAAAATTCCAGCAGCTCTGTCTGAATTTTATGTGAACTACCACTGATATTACTAATCCAAAACTAAATGAAGCAAACATGGCCCGGTATTTTTTACACCTGTCCTACATCAGTTCTAGGTTTCTGCCAACAATAATCTTGCCATCTAACAAGAAGAGGTGTGATACCTCATGAGTCAATTTTAGACATATAAGATTAGTTGACCAGAAAAAAAATCCTGATAAATGTGTTAATAAAGAGGTAATGGAAATCATTCCTGTTAAGTTAAGAGAATTAATATAACACAATATTAGAGGCAATGTTAGGGAGAAAGAGAGAGGTTAGAAAACTTAACCTATCTCTCATACATAACTTGTATTTATAGTTAACTTACAATAATAATAATAACACATACATCCCTTTTACTATTAACAATTTACACATACTACTACTCTATTATTCTTAACACTCCCCCTCAAGTTGGACTATATATATCATATAATCCAAACTTGGAACAAATAGTTGTAAGACGCGTACGACTCAATGCTTTGATAAACATATCTGCAAGCTGATCTTCAGATTTCACAAATGGAGTTGTAATCTCCCCGGCTACTATCTTGTCCCGAATAAAGTGACAGTCAACCTCAATATGCTTAGTTCTTTCATGAAACACAGGATTGACAGCGATATGAATAGCTGTCAGGTTGTCACAGAACAACTGTAAAGGAAGTTGAACTGAAAAACCAATTTCCTAGAGAAAGTGTAGTAGCCAAGTCAACTCACTTATCGTATGTGTCATTGCCCTATACTCAGCCTCAGCACTGGATCTTACTACCACGGGTTGTTTCTTACTTTTCTATGAGACAACATTACCTCCTAGGAAAGTACAATAACCAGTGGTTGATCTCCGATCAGAAGGAGATCCAGCCCAATCAGCATCTGAGAAACCTTCCACTCTAAGATGTCCATTAGCTCGATATAACAGTCCAAGTCCTGGAGCTCGTTTAAGATATCGCAGAATACGAGTAACTACCTCCCAATGTGGTACTCTAGGACATCCCATGAACTGACTTACTATACTGACTGCATAGGAAATATTCGGTCGAGTAATAGTGAGATAATTAAGCTTCCCAACCAATCTGCGATACCGACCCGGATTTTCAAATAATACACCATCATCCATCAATAATTTCTAATTCGGATCCATAGGGACATCAATCGGTCTACCACCCAGCAAACCTGCTTCCTCGAGCATGTCAAGTACATATTTTCTCTGAGATAAACAAATACCCTGTTTAGATCGAGCCACCTCAATACCCAAGAAATACCTAAGTTTTCTCAAATCCTTAGTATGAAATCGATCCTGTAAAAATAATTTTAACTTGGCAATCCCCTCAGAATCATTTTCAATAATCACAATATCATCGACATAGACCACCAATAGGACATACCCAGCATCTATCTGCCTATAAAATACAGAATGATTTGTTTGACATCGAAGAAGACCAAACTCTAAAACTGCATCTGAAAACTTACCAAACCATGCCCTCGGTGACTGCTTTAAACCATACAAAGATTTTTTTAACCGACAAACACTCTTACCAGACTCCCCCTGAGCAGTAAACCCAGGTGACTGCTCCATGTAGACCTCTTCAACCAAATCACCATGTAAGAAAGCATTCTTGACATCTAACTGAAACAAGGGTCAGTCAAGATTAGCAGCCAAAGAAATCAAGATACGAACAGAGGAAATTTTAGCAACAGGAGAAAAAGTCTCCTCATAATCAACACCATAAGTCTGAGTGAAGCCCTTTGCAACAAGTCGGGCTTTGAGACGCTCTACAGAACCATCTGGATGAAATTTAACAGCATACACCCAACGACATCCAACAGTTCGTTTACCAGAGGGTAAAGGGACAAGATCCCAAATTCTATTATGATGTAAAGCATCCACCTCCTCCTCCATAGCTTTCCTCCAACCCGGATCAGATAATGCATCCTGTAAATGCTTAGGAATAGATATAGCAGATAATTGGGAAGTAAAACAGGAGAAGACAGGTGACAAGGCATCATATGAAACAAAATGAGAAATAGGATGATTAGTAACACACGAACGAGTACCTTTGCGAAGAACAATTGGTAAAAATCTAGATTACCTGATGTTCCTGGATCAGAAGGCGACAAAGAAAACGGTACGGGTACTTCAGTCAATGGGTGAGGATGGCGAGAATAGACACAGAGAGGTAAAGTAGGTGGTAATACAGCGGGCAGTGGAATATCTGATGGTGGTATAGAAGAGGAGCCAAAGTCCAGATCCAAAGGCTGAGAGGGTGCTGGAAAGTATGGAACAGATTCTTCAAATGTGACATCCACACTAGTAAAATATCGGTGCAAAGAAGGATCGCAGCAACGATACCCCTTCTGCGTGCGAGAGTAACCAAGAAAAACACATTTGGTAGCCCGAGGATCAAGTTTGTCAAATCCAGGACCCAAATTGTGAACATAACAGACACAACCAAAAACCTTAGAAGGAAGGGAAAATAAAAGCTTACTAGAAAACAAAATAGAGTATGGACTTTGTCCATTTAACACAGAGGAGGGCATACGGTTAATAAGATGACAAGAAGTAAGAACAGCATCACTCCAATGATATCGAGGAACATTCATCTGGAATAACAAGGCACGGGTGACTTCCAACAAATGACGGTTCTTTCATTCAGCAACATCATTTTGTGGAGAGGTGTAATCACAAAAAGTCTGATAAATAATGTCAGTTTTACTAAGATAAGCTGAAAAAGGATCAGATTCATATTCACGAGCATTATCGAAACGTAAAGTACGTATACGACAACCAAACTGAGTTTTTATTTCTTTACAAAAAGTCTCAAATATAGAGAATAATTCAGACCGAGCTTTCATCAAAAATAACCAAGTCACGCGAGAATAGTCATCCACAAATATCACAAAATAAGGATATTTATTAAATGAAATATTCTTTATTAGACCCCATACATCAAAATGAACTAATTCAAATGGACTAGACACACGATTATTGACTCTAGACTGAAATGACACACGGTGATGCTTACTAAGTTGACAAGCTTCACAAGACAAAGACGACACATAACTAAGACTAGGAACTTGACACTTTAGATTCTGGAGAAAAGGATGTCCAAGACGACAATGTCATTGAAAAGGAGACAACGAGGTCTGTAAAGCTTGAGTAGATGAATCAAAGTCAAGGTAATATAGGCCACCAGCTTCATGTCCCGTACCAAACTTTCTCTTCGTCTTGAGATCCTGAAAGACACAATAAGAGGGATAAAAAATTATCGAACAATTGAGAAAACGAGTAATCTTGCTAATGGAAAGTAAACTAAAAGGAAACTGAGGAACAAATAACACGAAAAATAGGGACATATCAGGACTCAAGTGAGTAGTCCCTAGACCTGAAACTTTAGAACAAATACCATTAGCAAGAGTAACACTACATACAGAAATAGCAGACTGATAAGTAGAAAAAACGTCAGACGCACCAATCATGTGGTCAGAGGCAGCAGAATCTATGATCTAAGGGCTGCGGGTGGAGGACATTAAACATGTGGAAACAGTAACTGACTGGACAAAAGTAGAAGTGGAGGGAGATGAAACAGCTTGTTATTGGGACAGGAACTGAGCATACTCCTCTCGACCCAGTGTAATAGTAACTGACCCAGTGTATGGTGGAGCTGACCGAGGTATGGAAGCAACAATTGAGGTGTCATCCTGATAAGAAGCCTGATTAGCAGTACCAGAGGGTTTTCCATGTAAATTCCAACAGAAATAAACAGTGTGTCCTCCACGGCGACAGTGAGTACAAGAACGAGATCCATTACGACCTCCACGACCACCCGTACGACCTGCGCGACCACCTCGATGACCATCACTATGGTTATTAAGAACTACAAGAGTTGAGCGATCAGTGGAGACACCATGATCAATTACTGAGGTAGTAGATAGTGTAGCACGCTATAAATGAGAGAAAACCTCCAGCAGTGATGGAAGACTAGATCCACCCAAAATCTGAGAACGAATAGCCTCATATTCAGGTTTCAATCCAACCAAAAAACGAACAACATTCAAGTCCTCATGTTGCTTTTGCCAAACTGCTGCATCAGTAGTTAACGGACTCCCCGAACATGAGAGTAATAATCCGCAAGGCTCAGAGTACTCTGCTCCAACCGGAAGTACTCCTTGCACACCTCATACGCACGGGTAAAATTACCTGTACCAGAATACATAGTGGCCAAGTGATCCCATATCTCTTTGGTAGTATCAAGATAAAGCAGAGAGGAACTAATATTGGGCTCTATGCTATTCAACAATAAAGAAATAATCTGAGCATCCTCTTGTTCCCACTGATCATATCCCAGAGTGTCCTCCTTGGGTTTAGAACCCACCAGATATTTCTTAAATCCTTTTTCTCGAAGAAAGACTTGAATAGATCGTGACCATAAAGTATAATTAGTCACATTGAGTTTGACAGAAGTCATGGGACCAGTGATAAGAGTAGGAGGAGGCAACACAGGATTTTTGGGTTCCATAATAATGCAGCAGATAGCAAAGCAAATAGCAAATAAGAAGTGTTGCAGGACTAAACTGGACAGGAGAAGCCCACTTGAAAGCTGAACCAAACTGAAACGGGTTTGGACCGGTCTGATCTGGTCTGGACCGGGTCTGGACCGATCTGGCTGGACTTGATCAGGATACTGAACCGGGTCTGGACCGGTCTGGCTGGAACAGATCTTCTCCTTCGTTGGTTAGGATTTCTACCAAACCCTATGCTTTCACTGTTGAACACCACCACAGCACCGAACACCACCAGACCACAACACCGGACACCACCAAAACACCTCCACAGACCACCACGAAGATAGGCGACTACACCACAACGAACAATCGCCACCACGAAGACAGTCGACTGCCTTCACTGTTGAACACCACCACAACGCGGAACAGTAGCACACCGTCGACTACCACCAACGTCAACCACACCGATGGACTACCACAAGCCACAACCAAATAAAAAAAAATTCGATGAACAGTACACCGATCGACTACCATCAACAGTAACAACACCAAGATTAATGCTCTGATACCATGTTAAGTTAAGAGAATTAATATAACACAATATTAGAGGCAATATTAGGGAGAAAGAGAGAGGTTAGAAAACTTAACCTAGCTCTCATACATAACTTGTATTTATAGTCAAAGTTGTTAGTATCGTACGATACGCGATACGTATCGTACGATACGTTACGATACAGCCCTAAAACGATACGGATCGTAGTTATGTATCGTTTTTGCGTTGTATCGTCCGATACACGATACGTTTTTACGATACGATACGTATCGGTACGATACGCACGATACGTGCAATTTTTTTTTTTTTTTTTTTTTTTTTTTTTTTTTTTTTTAAAAACGACGTCGTTTTATGCTCTGATTTTTTTTTAAAAAAAACGACAAGTGAAGACTTGTTGGCATCCGATCACAATGATGATGATGATGATGCATTTTCAATTGAAATTGAAGATTGAGTTCAAAATGGATGTTAGAAATTTGGATTAGAAGTCTCTTTGGTGTTTAAAGTTTGAATTAGTGAACTATGGTTGTGAACTTTGCATTATAATAGTAGTGGATTATGTTGATAACTTGAATAGTTGGTGGAGTATTAATGAAATGCTATATTTTTTATGAGTGTATGACTTTTTTTCAAAGGTATATATATTTTTTTATTATTTATTTAAAATTGCATCGTATCTTACGATACACGATACGATACACGATACGATACAATATTTGTATCTTACGATACGCCTTCCGATACACGATTTGATAACTATGTTTATAGTTAACTTACAATAATAATAATAACACATACATCCCTTTTACTATTAACAATTTACACATACTACTACTCTATTATTCTTAACAATTCCCATTATTGGAGATAAATGAAAATCCAAAACCAATCATAATTGAATTAGAAGCAAGACAACACTAAAAAAAATAAAAAATAACTAACAAACTAAAATAAAATAGGAAAAAAAAATTTTAATGTTGCAACCATCAACAACCAAATAGCCATTAGCATGCTTCCATTATTACCAATCTGGTCCATGATTTTTTCCAGACATTTCAATTACAATTAGTACTACAGTAGACATTGTAAACCTAAAATTCATGAAAGAAAGTGACCAGCCAATTCAGTGTGAAAAGAGAAGATCAATTGCACCCTCAACCGCGTGCCACTGAAATTGTTTAAATGACATAGGAGCACCTCTACCACAAAATACAATAACTTTAGCACATAAAACTCATACCATCCTTTCATTTGTCATCAACTATTTCTTTCTATTCTTTACAATAGCTGTCTCTCATACTCTGGTCTGAGTACCCCATAGCTTGATATATGTGCGCCACACCATTATTTTCAGGAAAACAAGCCCAATCCCTAAGTTATCCATAGCTATTTATCTCTAACCACAACCATCGATTACTGTTTTCTGCCTATAACACCCTGATAGGTAGAAAGCTCAAATCTTTCAAAAAAAACCATATACTACTGAGCTCACAAATTCAAAACCAATCCACACTCCAAAAACCTCAGCAAAACCTAAAATTTCAATTCCATGCCTTGCTTTCATGACAACCAAGAATTAAACAAATTAGAAATTGGTTAATAGGGAAAGATACATATACCCCAGTTTTTTTTATCTCGTTTTGAGATTCAGAAATAATAACCAATTCCATAAATCTATGGAGTTTCCAAAATAAGTTATTTATCTTATTATTAATAACGTATTTCTTAAATAGCTAGAACGAACGACCCTCACAAATTGCAAACACTAATTTGTTAAGAATTAATCAGACTGATAAGCCAGATATATATATCATTATAACATTCCTAACTAAAAAATTATAATAATAATGCAATCATAATCATCGGTAAGTACCAAACTGTATTATGTACACCTTATGTGTGTGTTCAGTGTATACTTACAGATACAACAAGGAGGGCTCGGAGAGGACTGCCACGGCGAGTCCACAGAAGAACATTATGTCCGGTGTTCCGTGAAGCCTCGCGAAGCAAAGGAACATTCACGGAGAGTGCAGCTTTGATTCGCTGCACAAAAGGCATGGATGCATAGCTTGAGTCCGGATTGGGAAAGAAAGCCGATGATATGAAACTGTTGAAAACGCTGTAGAGTGTCACATCTTGTTCTTCCATATAGTTTTGCTTGGTCTTGTGCGAATATGCGTCTTCACCGTTCTCGATCACGACGCCGTTGGAGGTCTCGGACTCCATACCACTTCTCTCTTTTGGACTGCAAGTGTGTCCGTGTGTGTGTGTGTGTGTGTGTGTGTGTGCGCGTGTGTATGTGAGAGAGAGAGAGGGGGAGGGGGGGCTCTTGATCGAATGCGTGACTGCGGCGGGAGGGGGAGAAAGATGACTGGTAGTTGCGAAAAGGGCGTCACTGTCAATGGCCCACGGCCATTAGAGTCTTGAAGTGTGAGAATGATGAATACGTTGAATTGTGTGATTCAAATTAATATCGACAGATTGAGGACGGGGACGATTAATCTGGCATCTGAATTCATCCCGACCGTTCATTTTTTACTCATTTTCTGCAATCTGGTAACACGTGTATGATTGATCCCACATAAAACTAAAATATTAGTGATCTTAAAAATCAACTGTTGTTTGATAAAATGTCTCAGCCCTCAGGTGTCGGCACGAAGTTTCGGGAAAATGAACAGGTATACCGTTATACTGTTTAAAGATTTTTTTTTTTTCTAAAAATCAAGTTAGTAGTTTGAAAAAAACATGAGTAAAATTATTTTAATTTAATTTATTAATTAAATTGATGGTAAATTTAAATACCGACTACTCCTTTAAACTTAACCGTCGTCACCGTGATTTAAGTTAACAATAAAAAAAAAAAAAAAAAAGTTTCCACACATTTGAACATCTATACACAATAGAATGCTCTATTCTAATTGAAAAACATACGACAATTGTTTCCTAGGAGATATCCCTAAGAATTCGAACAATAAAAATTATGCATAGAAAGGACAAGTGGAGTTTTTTCCAATGCTAAGACGATGAAGGAAATAATGTCTTATTCGCCCACATCAACAATGAGAAAAAAGAACCAATACAAGGAAACACATGTTTAGCAACCCCATGCCTCCTCTTCATGCTTGTTGCTATTTTCACTTGCACAGCTAGACTCACATTCCATAGAGAAATTATCCCCAGTGTCTTCCAATATTTTTTGTTCTTTTTTTCTAGAAGGGGGAAGATGGTGAGATTAGAACCCGCAAGTCTGCAACCACTTGTGGACAGGAGTAAATGTTTCATCACTGAATCACTCCTTCACCTCAATCTTCCAATATACACTCCACTTTGGGACTACTGTCTACGTACAGCCTGTGCAGTTTTGGGTTTTCTTTTCGCACATGCTCGAAGCTTCGATTGAGACGCAATTTCTTTGAACCATATCATTGCAGTTTGCAGGACAATATAGAGTCATCTAAGCCATTCTCCCCTTGTCTGCACAGTACAGTTGCTATTTCTTGATTTATTCATCACAAAAGTTGATCATTCCCCAGTTAGTAACCTAATTTAATCCAAAAATATAACATTTTAACTTCATGAACTTATGGCTTTAACCATGGACAACTGAACCAGGAAAGCAGAACATACAAGAACATGAACACGAAAGAGAACAAGAACCCAATACAACAAAGCCTGGCACCCCAACCTCTTAAGAGTTTAGATAAATTGATTATTTATCTCTCTTCAGCTCCAGTGAGGGTTCCATTTCTCATCAAGTTCAAAAAGAAAAGGGTTACATTCCTCATTAAGTTCAAGAAAAAAGGTTACATTTCTCATCGATATGGAGTCAACCAAATTTTCTTCTCAGCAAAACTATCACACCCTTCTTTGGTTTCCCCTTTATGGCCCCTTCACATGAAGAAAAAAGACATGTATTAACCTCAAAGAAATGCAGTGAACAACCTCATTCAGACCATAACACCAGGATTACAACCTTTGGCACCGCTCAAATTAATTTCAATGCCGAACAAGCTTATACGATGAGTAAACAATAAGAAGTTGGACTTGTCACCGCCAGGAATTTCAATACTTCCCATCATTTGCAAATGTTCTAGTCAACCAACATCCACCGTCTTATGCAATTTATCACAAAATATGCACATCACAAATGTAAGTTCCACCTCAGAATTCATAATCTACCAAGTAAAAAGACCTCCTACTACAATTTTAATTCTAGGCTTCTGAAGTTATCAACCTCTAGATCATACTACACTAATCACCTCACATACTGGTTGACATGCTAGAATAACACATAAAAAAACTATTCCCACCTCCGAGTTTTCTTTTTTCTTTTTTTTGATGGTAAACAATATTGTCTTTTGAATAGCAAAATGGCTCCGAGTATATATCCAACAAAGCGAAAGATAAGCTACTACTATACTGAACTTTAAGCTCATAAAGATATCAATCTCCAGTTGAGATATGCTGATCACAATATGAAATGATTGGCATGCAAGGAAACTATTGATTAGAATTCAAGATATGACTTCCAGCTAGAAGTTTATGTTCAACCAAATGAAAAAAGCTCTGGTTAGCTCATTTAAGTCCAGGTTAATAAAGCTGTCAACCACTGGTGATTATGTACCATTAGGTCCATTACGACATGAAAAAATTGGCATGCTAGAAATCATGTCAAATGCAACATATCTCATATGACGTCTCAAATGGAAGCATCACCTCTTTAGCAATTAGAACCATCCAAGTTAAATAAATCCTGATTGGAGTCCAAAGTTATCCTCAGTGGCACAAGAATATATGATTTCTCAAACAGAAGCATCAGCTCTTTAGCTATTACTTTCCTTTTTTCATTTTTTTTTTTTGCTATTGCTTTTCATCTAAGCTTAATAATAACTGATTGGAATCCAAAGTACTCATCACTGGCACAAGATTTCACTTTCTACAGGCCAAAAAGTTTATTAAGAAAATAACACCAACAAAAGAAAAGGAAACTTCTTGTCCAAAAATTCACTGGGATCGACTAGAACAGAGAGTGCTTTCCATACACATCAGCTTAACAGAAACAGTACAATGCATTTTTCATACCAAATATGATCCAAGATTTGGAATACAAGCCTTTCCAACAAATTCAACAATAATAGCTATTGATGTTCATAAGACATTACACAGATCATCACTAAGATTGCATACTACGTGCCTTCTATACCCTAGAGCAATAATTGTTGGTATATATACCTACGGATCTGTCCTTGAGCTCACACTATAAAATAAAAATAGATTTATCTTTTCACTTTATCAGGCAATCTCAGCCAGCTGTCATTCATCCTGCCAAGAATGGGTTCAATTTTCTACTTCGTACAAATCTCATCTCAAATTTTATCCATTTATGAACTCAACTCTTAGCCTGAGTGGTATCTTGTACCACCACTCTCACAGAATGTTCAAGTTTCAAGCCCCCATTGTGACATCAATGCATGCCTAATCCAAAAGCCAAAGGAAACATTATGTTGCTCCTATCCCAATATCTGAGCACATATAACTCATTTTCCAGATCTTATGTACGTTTTCAATCTGTTGAAAATGGTACTCAGCTGTTTGTTGACCTAAAACACTCATTTGACTATGTGATTGCGGATAAACATATTTCAAAGAGACTAAGACAACTACTTCCCCGATAGCATGCACCCAATATTGACAGCAAAACTCTTAACCATAGCTGATGTCATGCATTATACACTTGATCCAATTTTCTCAAAATTTTCAGACAGAGCTCACAACCACACTTCCCATTCTTATATCTTTATTTTACCAACTTGGCAAAATCGAAAAAGAAACAAAATGGAGATAAAAGTATGGCAAATCAAGAGGATGTCTTACAAAATGTAATCTTTCAACTTTAAAGGAAAAAAAAAGGCACACAGCGCTTATCTTTCAAGTGAAAATCTGTCACTTGCCCAATTATACAGAAGTGAAGATGCATCTTCCTTACACTGTGTTTGGCATGGTGAAAACTTGTGTGGATGGAAAGTGGAGGGTGGAAAATGGGAGGGAAGGAAAGTTTTTCTATTGTTTGGTTTCAAAGGAAAAGGTGGTGGAAAGGAAACAACATCACTTCCGCCCACCATTCTCAATTTGTCCATTTTAGGGCGGAAAGCTGGAGAGAGAAGAGGGGCTTTGATATCATTAGTTGGCCTTATAAATTCTGTGGATGTACAGAATTATATTTTTTTGTAAATGATTTTCCAGAAATAAAATAAAATGGTGCTTTTACAAAAAAAAAAAAAAAGAATAGGGTCTTTGAGTGGGGCTCAACTAATTTACTGTTATACCCTCCTTTCGAAATGTGTGCACACAAACCAATATATTTATGTAAAGCAACTGTACCTTTTTTAAAACTTTCCAGCACATATCCTCCATGTTTATATCACTACAAAACATATATATTTTTCACTTGTCCAACTGAAATTATATTTTTCTATATGAGTCAAATTGAAAATATTAATTTATTGGAACATATTTATTCAATAATATAGCAAATTAGAGGCTTTGAACTTTTATGTCATGGTAAAAAGTATTTTTTTATTTAATGGTATAGTAGTAAATTAAAAGGGTTTATTTTTCCCTTTCCTTTCTTTTTTCTTCTAATATCAAACAATGAAAAGTTTATCCGCAAATTTTCATCCATCATACCAAACAAAAAAGAGAGAAAAAGGATTTCCTACCTTCGTGGATAGAAAGTCTATCTCTCTTACTTTTCCATCATTTCTAAACATGAGTGGCTTAACTAAAATAAGAATGCAGAACAAAGTACTAATAAAGATAATTTTTTTTCCATTTTTATCTTTTGAAACAAAAAAAAAATTAAAAAACACTACTTTTTCTGAGAAAAATCAACAATAGCAACTTTTATGTAGCAAAATGTACCAGAAACCAAACCTCAAGCCCTCTGAAGTGATAGGAGAACACTGGTACCAAGTGCCTCATCATAAATAATGAGCAAATAAATTTTGGAAATTGACAATGTCGAGTTTCTAAATACATCTTCATGTGCCTCATATATTTGTAATAATGCCATATGCTTGGAGAATAAAGTGAGCATTGAGAAAAGTAGACATTAAATGAATCGTTTGGTAACAACGCCACAAATTCTTTACCTACCCTCTCCATTAGAATTAAAAGTCAGCAATTGCCCAGATACATAGGGTAACACATCCTCCAAATGTCAATATACATCTCATTTCCAGAGTAAACCCCACAGCAAACACAAATTGCAAGTAACAACAAAATTAAATTGTATCAAAATTAGAGTGAAAGAAAAAAGTTTAATTTTTCTCACTGAAACACATAATTAAGCAAACAAAATCAACTAAATTCAAAAACTTTTCATCACAATTTTAGTCAATACACATAATCATATATATCTACCTCTTGAAAGCTACAATGCGAAACCCTTCAAATACTCAGGATCACGCTTGGCCCGTTCCTGAAACTTCTTAAACCACCTATCCAATATATCCATTGGCACAACCAACTTACTCCCATCCACTCCACAAAACGACTGCATGAAATTAAACAAATTCTCCCCAACCTTCAATGCCAATCTCTCAATTTTCTTCTCCGCCGTGACGTCCAAGGAGGGCAGCGACGCCAGGTCCTCGACGGAGACACCGATTTTGGCGGAGAGCGGGGCAGCGTCGGCGGTAAGTTGCATTTGGCCGCCGGGGTCCGGCCACGGGAGAGAGAGGACAGCGGAGGGGCGAGAGAGCGTTACGGCGCCGCAGAAGAGGAAAGGCGAGCCTGGGGCTTGGATGTAGACCGCTAGGGCTTTGTCTGGCGGTAGAGTGAAGTTGTTGAGGAGGAAGATGCAGACTTCGCGGATTGAATCGTACGCCTCCCCTGCGCACGTTAGCAGCAAGCGGTCACACAAACATATATAAATTTTCCGGATTGAATCGTTCGCCACCCCCTGAATACGTTAGCATCAAGCAATATCTCACACATATACTCGCACAAAATTTAAATTTGAAAAATGAAAAGCTTACCGACGAAGGTGTTCATGTCGAGGACCCAATGGAAGGTGTCGATTTGGGTGAAGGTGGAGATGTCCATTGGGAAACTACGATTGGGGAACACTACTCCAAACATTATTTTCGATTGAATTGTGCTTGCGCTGTTTATTTTGGCCCTTTTTTGGTTAGAAAATAAGTGTTTGTATGTGGGGTTTCTGCAGAGAGAGAGAGAGAGAGGGAGTAGCAGAGAGAAGCTCAGGAGAGCAAGAAGGGAAAAGGTGGAGGAGACTCGGAGGAAGGAATTAGCAGTAGTACTTTGTAGAGATGCTCTGAGAGTTGAGAAAAGTCTAGTAGATTCCAGAAAGGTCGAGCTGAGCAAACCCTCACAGTTGGATCCAGATCCAGATCCAGTGGCTTTTGGAATGCTTTGGGTTTTTGAGTTTTTTGGGCCGATTTACAATTCATTCCTCACATCTTTGTTTTTTTTTCAATATGTTTTGGTGAAATTATCTTACGAAATATTTTATTTTTAATTATAATAAACTTTTTAATCACTCACTTATATTTTAACTACAATAAATATTTTTTACACTCACTTATATTTTAATCCATAATAAAGCGAGATTTGTATAGGAATTTATAAGATGAATCATGCATAATATCTCCGTCTCCGTATCCGCTTAAAAAAATTTTGTTCATCCCTGATCCAGTCTCGTTAACGATTATAATTTTCATATTCATTCCCATTCATGGTAAATTTATAATCCCCGCTGCCCTCGTACCCGCCAAAGCCCAAGCCTAAGTTCAAGCCAATATAATCTAAAATTCTAAATAAATTTAATATTTTAAATACACAAGACAAAGAAGAACACAATACTCTCTACTAATACACAGGATTGATTTTTCAAGGTAAGATTATCATAGTCTAGAAAAAAGTGATGGAAACTAAGTGGATGAGGTTAAAGAGAAAGCTATGACGTTTTATAAAAATCTGCTTGTTGTGAAGTATAATTACTCATAGCAGTGTTCAGTCGAAGTTAGCAATATATATCAAAACACCATTACAGAAGCGCAGGCTACAGATTTAAACAAGGAATTTACAACTAAAAAAAATAAAACACCAACTAATACATACAGATGAGCCTTTTCTTCTCAGATGTCAAATAAAAAAATTAGAGAAATCATATAAAAAACCCACATTTGAAAATATATTACACACAAACCCATTTGAAAAGGAAAACATTGGTATTGGTCATACCTACCAGATTGTTGATTGAATAATGAAGATCTGTGTGTCGAAGAACTGAGTCAAAGATCTGTGAGCAAGTGAGAGATGTAGCGATCAGCAATCAGCGAGGAAACAATCAGTTGTGAGAAGCTGCTGAGTGCAGCGATCAGCAAGGAAGCAAGCGGCTGTGAGGAGTTGCTGAGTGCAGCGACCATCGAGAATGATGGAGGAGGGCGATGGGTGTCTGTCTCACAGTGTGTGTGTGTGTGAGAGAGAGAGAGAGATGGAGGCAGGTGATTGATAGAGGAAGAGGAGAGTAAATTAGGGCTTTAAGCTTGTAACTAGAAGTATATATATAATGGGTACAGTTGGGATGAGACAGGGATAAGGGTATCCCCGTATACATCCACCGTCCAATACGTAAAGTCCATCCTCAATTCAAACGGAACGAGTTTGGGTGAATAACTCCCTTTTTTCTAGTCCACTGTCATCCCTAGGAACAAGGTTAGAAGAGGGTTGGAGGTCTGTCTTCTCTTATATCTAAGTCCGTCCTTGTTCAAGCTGAGAGGAATGTGATTTGTGTAAGTTGGGTTATGCATGCATACCTGAAACTCAATCTTTTGAGCTATTTATACTTTGAGAGATGATGAGATGGAACTTCGTGAGTCATATCCAATTGGCAGGTTGGACACCTACACAAATAACTTGTCATAAACTATTATCTCCCTCAAGTCGCGCATTTACTATGCCCAGGGAATTCTAATAGTCACTTTGGTTCAAACAACATAATGATTACCCTGTTCAAGAAGTTGAGTATTCAATGAGCATCTTTCAGACATTTATGAGTCGCGTTAAGCATTTAAATGATGCATACTGACCATTAAATGATGTCTTTCCTAACCAGTCCACATCAATAAGAGAGAGTGAGAGACCGACTTATATGAAGAGAACTTATTATGGGTTTTGATTTTTCAAAACCATTTTAGACAACTGCTATATAGTAAAAAGGTATTCAAGTATTCTATATTATCAGAAAACTTTTTCACCAAATATTTTTCACTATGAACTTATTCAATAAGTCTAATTTTATGTACTAACTTCCAAAAAACTCAAATTTT